ACCCAAGGCAAAAAAAAAAAAAAGAGGAAGAGGAAGAGGAAGAGGAAGAGGAGAAGGCGGCGCCCAAGCAAACCAAGAAAGAAAAAAAATAGAGAGGAAGAGGAAGAGGAGGCAGTGCCCAAGCAAACCAAGAAAGAAAGAAAAAAAATGGGGGGGGGGAATAAGGAGGCGGCGCCCAAGTAGGCCAAAGAGAAGAAGCAAGGGATAGCGCCCAAACAGGCCAAGGAGAACCAAAAAAAAAAAAAAAGAGGCGACGCCCTAGCAGACCAAAGAAAGAAAAGAAAAAAAAAAGAGAAGAAGCAAGGGGTGGCACCCAAGCAGCCAAGGAGAAAAAAAAAGAGGCGACGCCCTAGCAGGCTAAAGAAAAAAAAAACCAAGGGGCGGTGCCCAAGCAAAGCCAAAGAAAGAAAAAAAAAATAAAAAAATAAAAGGAGAAGAAGCAAAGGCCAGCGCCCAGGCCAAAGAAAAAAAAAGGAGAAAAAGCAAGGGACGGCACCCAAGCAGACCAAAGGAAGAGAAAAAGAGAGAGAGAAAGAGAGGGGGATGGCCACGCCCAAGGAAAGAAGGAAGAGGGGAAAAAATAGAGAGAAAGGGAGGCCCACGCCTAAGGAAGGAAGAAAAAACAAAAACAAAAAAAGGAGAAAGGGAGCAACGCCCAAGGAGGAAGAAAAAGAAAGAAAAAAAAAGTTTGACATCGAAAAATTCAATGAATCCCTGAGGATGAAAAGATATCGTGGAAAACCAGAAAAATTTCAACTCACCCAAATGAGACGAAAGACATGCCCTCAACCCCTTTCTCTCGAAAAAAAAGTCAAAGACTTAGGGCATGGAGGGCAAATGATGAGTTCGAATTTTACTGGGCCAAGCCCCATTCAAATAAGCCAGGAAAGCCCAATGGAAAGCCCAATCAAAGATTGGGTCGACCCGTCATGGGGGAACCCAAGAAGGCATCAAGAGGTCAACACTCAAAGTACGAAGAGCCAACACCCAAAGCACTTGGGACACTGCCCAGGGGTCATCCAAGCCAAACGCTGCCCAAGGCTACTCCCTGGTCCTCGTACATCCTCTTTACTCTAATGCAAGCCCAAGTCCAACCCACTCCAAGTCTAAGCTCAAGGTTAAATCAGCCCAGCTCATCATCATCCTCCGACAGAATAGGAATACGAGCGAGACAATCTATATAATTCAACTAAGATTGTACTTACCAAAATTGTGGGAGACCTCTTTCTCACGTCACTGCTTCACCGCCTTGGTGAACCTATATAATGAAAGTCCTCTACACATAAAGGGAAGGCCTTTATCGCCTTGAGATCCCTACACATTCCTACACACATTACTCTCACTTTCTCTCTCTCTCCCTCTAAGCACTGTAATACTCCTGAAGAATACTTTCTCCGGTGACTTCATTCATTAATAAAAGACCTAGGTCATCACTGTCATTTCCGAGAGTAGAGTAAATAACCCGATCGAACCACTACAAATCTCTATATTATTCATTGTTTTATCATGAATTGTTTGTTTATTGCTCATTGACTGCACCCGTTCATATTTTTGACTGTTAATTTTGCACAATATCAATTTGTGCATAATCAAATTTTATAAATCAAAAAATAATAAAACATTTTCGATTGAGTGTTTCATATAAAAATTTTCTAATATATTAAATTAAACTTGATAAAATACAAAACAAATTAAAAAAAAAAATTTCACCCAACATACACCATCTCAGTGGTTTCAACATACCCAAATCAAAAATTCACACACAGAAAATCTAATACACCCAAATCATTAACATAAAAAATTCCAATTTGTACAAACATTCACACACAAATCAAAAATTCACACAGATTTATTACATTAACAAAGGGGTTTTCTTGGCCTTACCTCTGTTTGTACAAAAATTCACAATAATCCAAGCAACAAATAGAACTGCTATGATGCCTTGAATCCCCCAAATCTAACACAAATAGATCAAATATGTTTGGATCTACCACAAATACATCAGATCTGTAAAAAAAAAAAATTGACCTCTAGTCATCAGAGGAGACGAGCTCAAGTCGCCAACGGATGATCTAGATCTGAAGAAACCCAGATCTAAAAAAAAACCCATATCTGACGCAACCCTCTAGAGAGCTCTCAGTCTCCGGAGAAGACCCAGATTTGTGATTTTTTTTTTGTGTTCTTATTTTATCTACCATAACATAAAAATGTTATTTTTGTACTTATTCAAAATTTTTGATATATTCATTTTTATTAATAATGTATTTTATTTTTGTATTATACGACATATCTGACCAATTGACTTAACGGTTGAATTCATGAATCATTGACTCAGTCCTCCTGCGGTTCGATGTCAGGTCCGATTATGATAATATTGGTGTTTAGCATAAAGTGGGCCTAATTAAAATTGGATAGGTATACAAGCAATGGACTAAATAATTTAATTATACAAATTTTAATAAGGTGGAAATGGATATTTGTAGAGTAGAAATACTCCTCCCACCCAATATGTTTAAAGTTAGCTGCTAGAGATGAAATGTGTTAAATTAGCCAAATATGGGCAATAGTAAAGTCCTTATTAGGAATCAGTCATGGGAGAGGGGGTAGAGGGCCTTTCATCCCTTGAACGGAAGAGATGGGAAAATATGAGAAAAAGGAGAGAACAAAGGTAAGTTGAATGCTTGAAATTTACATCAGTTTCTTCAGACAATCTCCTCAAAAAAAAAAAAAAAAAAAAAAAAGGCAGCAATTCTGAAGTTTTTAAAATAAAATCTTGTTTATTGATTCTAGTAATTTTCTTTTTTGTAAGTAAGCGAGTCCACTCACCCCTTACCTAGTAGGGATTATCTCTTGGATCTTAAAATATTTTTCTTGTTTAAAATAAAAAAATTTTATATTGAAATAACATTCAATTTAGTTTTCATTAGTAGAAGTCTTGGAATTTATTTTTTTCATTTTTTACTTTGGTTTTTGTCCCCTCTAAAGTAAAATCTTGGGTTGATTCTTGCCTTGCATTTGTCTAAATTCGTGAGCAAAAAATTCCCCGGCTAAACCTCACAAAATTTGTGAAAAAACACCTAAAAATAATAATTTTTTTAAAAAATGATATCAAATTTTTTTTTCCGATATCATAGTCAAGTCCGTGGGTGTATACGGGTAATACATTGGCACCAATAGAGGTACATTACCTTTGTTTACTATATTTTGAGTTTAAAATACAATTTTTTTTTTTGTGGCCATATTACAATAAAAAAGTTTGGGTTAATAACACTTTTAGTTTGAAGTATATATTTTTTATTATTTTGATCCCTAAAATATTAATTTTATTAATTTAGTCCTAAAAATATTTAATTTGTATCACTTTAATCCTTAATTAAACAATTCGTTAAATTTTTTGACGAAAATAACCACGTGTCACTTTTTCAAATAATATCATGTGCCGAACACATTATAATGAACTCGTTCGCGGTTGAGATCGCTTTAAATTTTACTTTAAAGTTAATTTAATAGTTAATATTAACACCCTAAATTTAATAGAAAAAATAAACCTTTAAAAGTGTGTTTAGAATGACTTTTTAAAAATACTTCTAAAAATTATTTTTTATAAACACTTTCAAAAAAAAAAAAAATTGTGTTTGAAATCACCTCATTATTACCTTTACCACCACCGCCGCCACCACTAGTGCCACCACCACGTCGCTGTCGTCGCCGTCATCACTATCATCACCATCACCACTACCATCGCCACCACCACCATCGCTACCATCATTGTCGTCACCGTCACCCACCACAATCATCACTGTCTCGTACCACCACCACTGTCGCCCACCACCTCTTGTCCCCACTACAAATCTATGTTTAAATTATTTTATCTCTTCTTTATGTTTGTGATTCGATTTTGGATATGAATATAAATATGTTTATTATTTATCATTTTATATTACTCTGTGTCTTCAGGCATAGACAATAACTAGTATTATAATAAAGAAGCTTGAATTAATAGCACTTTTAATTCTTAAAGTATATAATTTTTATTAGTATTAATTTTATCAATTTGGTCCTTAAAACATTTAATTTGTATCACTTTAATCCTTAATCAAATAATTCGTTAAATTTTTTGACGAAAATAACCACGTATCACTCGTTCAAATAATATCATGTGCCGAACACACGTGATCATTCTATCAAAAACTTAATAGTCCATTTATGTATGACTATTTTGACACAAATTGAATTCTTTAAGGATCAAATTAAAAAAATTGATATTTTACATACTAAACTGACAAAAAATATATACTTTAAGGAGCAAAAATAGTTTCAACCCAAAAAATTTTAATAAGACCTTAAACATAATCGAAATTTTATTGTAACTTAATCCAAAAAATCATTTTTCCGAAAATTAATTTTTTGGGGTAGCATAATCTTACCCATTCTTTCCCCACTATTTATGTATCAACCATAATATATGCCTAAAAGCACGGTACGATAAAAATTCAAAGTTCAAAAATTTGATATTATTATATTAAATAATAATTTCTCTTTTCTTTTTTTTTTATTATATAATATAATTTAAAATTAATTTTTACCCATTACTTTTTTATAAAAAATCGACAACATTTTCTCAAAATCATTACCTCAAAAAAAAATCCACATACATACACTACCGTATACAAAGAATATCTGAAATAAAAATTGTTTTAACAGAGGCAAAATTAATGAAAATTAAATTAATTCAACTTATAATAGAAATGGGTGATTTGAAAAGAAATAAGCGATAAAATTATATGAAGATAAAATCCAATAGATATTTATAGTGTAAGAATTTAGACGTTAATAAAAAAAAAAAAAAAATTTAGATGTTGATTTTCTTCAATATTTTTTCTCTATTTCTTCCCATAGATCTCATTATATTTTCACAAGAAAGGGACCCATGAGGTGATCTATGAAGGAGAATAAGTGAGAGAAAATGTTTTGAAAGATCTCATTATTCCCATGAATTGATGATAAGCAATGCAAGCATTACAAAAACATTCAATGTCGCCGGAAACGATGTATCTAGCGAGATGTTCACAATTTTCTTTTCATAATTACATAATACATACAAGATGCATCTTACATTTATAATGAACTCGCTCTCTGGAAAAAACAGACAATTTCGCCGGATTCCCGATTCCGGCCGACTTTAGACGGTGAAAACAACGGCATTGGCGGTGCGGTCGGCAGGGGAGAAAGCCAAGAAAGTGAGAAAAGCCATTATCCCCACCGGAAACAACATCAGCGACATTGGCGGCGGAGGCAATGGTGGCAGTATCGGCGGCAACACCAGAAGCGACGCCGTCACAACCGCCAGCACCACCACCCACTTGACAGTAAAGCACGTCACCATCAAAATCTTTCGCTTCTCACTGACCCCGTCGGAGCTATGACCATCTCTCTATCGCCGGCTACAAGTTCAATGCAATACCAGTTTCAGAATAGTGTGTGCTGGGTATTTCTAACTGTGTAGAGAGACAGAGAGAGATGTCACCCTGTGTCTGGTTGTCTTCAAGTACTTATAGGCAAGAGAAAGTACGAAATGCATGTAAACCGAACCCATTTTTTTTTTTCACAGATAAAAAAAGAGGGACCACCAACCAATTCTTCTTAAAAGAACTGAACCCATTTTAATCCTCCACTTTTCGGTAAGAGAAACTACGAAATGCATGATGATATTGTATTGAATAAAGTGCTCTATTAATTTAATCGTATAAATGCATTAATTTTTTAAATTAAGTCTCAAGTCAATTACAAAAAATATTATTTTTTTGCTAAAATATATATATTTTTTTTCCGATAAGAGCATGACAATTGACACGTATAAAGGTTTTTTTATTTTTTTTATTTTTTTGAATACAAATAATTAACACAAGATCTACGGCTATAATTCATTTTTTCGGTATAGTTCCTATATTTGTAATTCTAATTTAGATCCAATTAATTGTATATAAATGATATTCTTGATTAATATTTCTAATTTGAGTTCAAAATTATTAAATTCTATTTCACATTATTGGATTGAAAATTACAATTATTGTAATTTAATTTAAATTATATATAGTCTTATATAAACAACAAAGTTGTGTATATTCTTTAATAAAAATTTACTTAAAATTCATATTTATTTGTTAAAAGTAAGCTTAATTAAGATATTTGGATTTTTCAAATCAAATTTTTGATTTTCTAAAGTAATGGACGAACAAGTTTGAATAAAATCATTACTTTTATGTCAAATTTGAATTCGAACATAACAAAATTCAATTTTAATCTAATCCTCGAAGAGTCTTACATACAGATAGGTCTGTCAAAGTCTGGCACGATACGATTAATCAACACGAATTGACATGAATTAAGCGGATTTAGATGAGACCTTAACAGGTTCAGGAATTAAACGGGTTGATCTGTTAAACATGTTTAATAAACGGGTCTTTTTTGGGTGAGTCATGTCAACTCATTTATCACCCGTTTATCCGTTTGAATAAAATTAATATAATAATAAATTAATAATTATTTTAAAAAGTTAGAAAGATTTTTTTTTAGTGATAGCCATAAAATTGTTTTCTTAAATTTAGTGATAGCCACAAAATATTATAATAAATTAAAACTATTAAACGAGTTCGTATTGTGTTATCTATTTATTATATAGGTCATGTATAAATTTACATATTTTTCACTCATCTATTAAATGGATCGTGTATGAATTTACATATTTTTTTATCTATTATTTATTTAATCTGACATGTAATTGACTAACCTCAAATATTTGACACCTAAATACATGTGATGGGTTGCATATCTTACGAACAATAGATTGGCGTTCACTTAAGAGGGATGTGTATTGTTGTTGTGTGTGTCCGATCCTTTATCATCCCAAAATCTTGTTAGGGATATGATTCAGACAGGATCAGTGAAGGCACCAGATACCAATATATACAGCTGAGCTGAGCAGATACAATTGGGTGGGGGGATTTATTTAAATAATCATCTTTCTCAAGTTTAATATTTAATATGGTGCATGTCTTGAAGAAATACCATGATTTTTTTTTTATTTTTTTATGTTTTAACTACTAATTTATTTTTCCCCTTAAAATACATAAATCACTTAAATGTGTTTTTTAATTTATTTGTGAAATTATTATTGTTCTTTTTATAAGAAAATGTTTCAAAAGCAGGACTTCAACTAAAAACTTATTTTTGGCAAACGCTTAAAAAAAATTAGAATCGGTTAAAAATTTATTTCAAAACATTCTTCTTTAAAGTCGTCTTTGACAATTCGATTTAAAAAAAAATTGATAAATAAATTAAAAAGATAATAAAATAATATATATATGTGTGTGTGTGTGTGTGTGTTCATTTGGAATGTCATTTGTAATTTTAAATTTAGATCTCTAGCATTGCTGTTTAAAAATAAGGTACATGAATGAGAGAGAGAGTGGTCCAATGCATTGTATCTTTCATTAAAGGAAGCACTGTGACAGTAATACATAAACATGACTTTGCGACGTCATCACTGATAATCGTACCTGGCCGACTGATTAGCCAGCTTTGAACACTTCTGCAGAAATCTCGGCAATTCGCTGAACCAGGACACAGAGCCTTGCTTCTCCAGCGATACGAATAGTTCCGTTCAGTACGATATTAAAAAGACAAGGCTAAATTACACTGACATTCCAATAGATTGATTTAATTATAGAAACACTCGTTAATTTTTTAAAATTATACTGACACCTTTTATTGTTTATTTTCTCATTTCAAAAAGTATTCTTATGGTTAATACAATGTCACAAAAGTGATTACATCATCAAATTTTTACACTTTAATATTCATATTACCATTGAACAAAATTAAGTTAATTTATTTATTTTCGTATCGTATTCGTGTTCGTATTTATATATATATTTTTTTATAATGTAGAATCCCTCCAAAGCAAGACCACTTTGGACCTCATTCTTAAAAGAGTAAACCCTGAATATCTGCAATCACCCGCATATTACAGGTATCAGTTAAGCCCGAAAAACACTAGCAAGAATTAAACCCCTAACGTCCGAGTCTATGGTTTGTCTGGGTTCAACTCCATACTACTAAGCTACCCGTGCGGGTGTGTTTGTATTCATGTTGATCCATATAAATCTTGAATAAAAAAATTTAATGCTAAGATTCTATTATCACTTAATTGAATTTATGTCCATACTTTTTCTAATTAACTTAATAAATAAAACAATAATAATTAGTAAAAATGTCTTTTTTATATAATAATTATGTCAGTGTTTAATAAACAACAACAAATAATTAATATTTCATTTTTATAATATCAATTAAACATGTTGAACGTGTCAATTTAGTATTGTTCATGCTAACATACAAACGAGAAAATAGAGAAAGTTCGACATGATTAAATAAACAGGTTGATTATATCAATTTCGGATTTTGTGGGTTGAACCCCAAAATAATCTATTTATTTGTATTTAAATATATAAGAGGATAATAAGTAAAAAATGATGTATGGTAAAAATAATTATGAAAAATCACATTTTTTATTATACTTGTTAAAGGACAAGAGTTAACCGGGGTTGTAATTTTAGAAAATTAAGGGGTGTCTCTATAATTAAACTAACTTACAGAAGGTGTTACTGTTGTTTACCCAAAAAAAATTATATAATTTAAATAAAACTTAAAAAATTATTTTTGTTGGTATTATAACTTTTTTTTTTATTTAATATACATGTATTATGTGTAAAAAAATTATTTGATTATTTTTAATCAATAATTATGAATCAGTTAAATTAAAAGTAGAAATCAAAATTAAATATTAAATTTTCAGCAGGGTAACCCTTTGTAATCTAATTCAAAATATAATAGTGTATTTTATCAAGCATGTGAGTATTTCAGTCATCATTATTTTTAATTTTATCATGTCCGTCTCTCAAATTTATAATTTATATTTACTAATAATAATTTTATGCCCCAAGACGCTATATAATTTTTTGAGTACTGATAGTGTAATGTTTTATATTTTAAATTATAATTTATTTTTTATTTAATTATGTAATTTAAAATTAAACAAAGAGAGAGAGAGAGAGAGAGAGAGAGAGAGAGAGGGGTTAAGTGCGGATTAGTGGTATTTCCTGGTAACAAAGAGTATGTTGGTTAAGTTGTCTCATAATTGGGGTTGTGCAAAGAATATAATATTTTTTAGCAAAAAATTGGGATCAATTTTGTACCAATTGATCAAAATAGATGAAAATTAGATTAATATTGACCGTTGTTTTACTTTTATAATTTGAAAATTCAACTTCTTAACTATTATGTTAGATAGACTAGCAATAATCCCATATTTGAAGACATTCTACATTATTATAAATCGAGCATTGATTTATATAACGTTTATATTTTAAATAATATATTTTTTTTAATTATGTAATTTAATATTTGAGTGGACATAGAGAAAATAATACCGGGGGGATAGAGAGAGGGGGGGGGTAGGTGTCTATTAGTGTATTGTCTGACATAGAGAACAATGTAAAAAAGATTTTTTTTCCCATTAAATCAAAGGAAATAAAAATTAAATTAATCTTGAATATTATTGTGCTTTTATAAGTTAAGAATTCAAAATTTCAATTGTAATATTAGATAAATTCTATTTAATTGATACATAATAATTTAAATTGACTAACATAAATAATCAGGCACATCTTACATAATTATGTTTGGATGAGCATTCTTTTGAAAATTTCCAAAACTAATGTTACAAATTATTATAATAAAGATCGAAGAGATATAATTTTAAAAATGTGAAGGGATTAAAATACTCATCAAGTATAGTGATGTGAGATGCAAATGTCCATCTTTATTAGTTAATTTAAATAATATTTTTTAATTTAAGCAAACAAAAAAATTATTATATTTTACCTTTCACATATAATCTATTTATATACCACCGTGCTCCGATGATTCTACTAGCATTCTTGGATTTTGGGTAGAATCTTTGGATCTTTTTTGAAGCCAAGTTTCCCGATGCATAATCTACCTTGGTTTGATTAATGGAATGGTTGATTTCTAAGGGAGAGATTGTCATCCTGTGTGATCCCCTTAATAAACGGCACGAGAGAAGGCGGTCGTTTTTCAATACCAGAGATTTTCTTAATTTATTCCTATCCCATTCATTGTTGGAGTTTTACGGAATGAAATCTCTTCTAATATATATATATATTTTTAATTTGATTGATCTATTTAATTATAATAATGTTATTTATACTTAAAAATTTAATCTAATTTATTGACATAATGATGTGACTTCATAAAAATCATTGGATCAACATTAAATTCTAATGTTTGATGGGATCTACAGTCAATTCAAAGGTCATAATGAATTAGATCTGTAAATTATGTC